AGGCTGAAGCAGGAGGATTGTGAGTTCAAAGCTAGCTTCAGCAACACAATGAGGCCCTAAACAACTCAGGGAGGCCCTGTCTCTTAAGTAAAATATAAAAAAGATCTGGGGATGTGGCTCAGTGGTTAAGCACCTCTGGGTTCAATCCCCAGTTCAAAAAAGGTGGTGCAGCTCCGTTTTGTACTCTTGAAAGCCAGCCAACATGTAACAAAATCTGCCTGTCCTGTGGGACATCCCTATTCAAGAGGGAAAGTCTTGGGTGAGGAGCTGAAGATGGGAAGATGTTGAGTGCTTGAAGGAGTTCCAGAGGGACAAGAGGGATGCATGTAGGGAATGGGAAAGTGCCAAAGATAGGCTGTAGCTGCTGCATCCGGCTATGTGGCTGAGGAGGAAGCAAGGAATGAAGTGCAGGGCTTTCACAACAGGAGTGTCAATTGGCTTTGGAGGCTTGTCGACTTGCTCTGGGTTTGGTACTTAGCAAAGTTGTAATTTTAAGTGTTGGCTGATGTAGGGACTGGCGGGGTGATACCATGATTGCCTCAGAGAGCTGTCAGTCCTTGGATCTCTTTAGTAGGGCAGCTTTTCCAGCATTGGCTCTGGGAATTGGCTCCTGAACACGTATTGCTTTGGAAAGGCCCACTGAGATAGCTGCCTTGAACATTGTTATGAGTTGAATTATGTCTCCTCAAAATGAATATGTTGAAGTCTGAGCCCCTGTACCTCAGAATATGACCTTATTTAAATAAGGTTGTTATAGATGTGCTTAGTTAAGAAGTCATAGTGGAGTAGGGTGGGCTCACTCCAAGATGGCTGATGTCTTTATACAAAGGGGCCATTTGGACATAGAAATGGACACCTAGAAAATACTATATAAAGATGAAAGCAGAGCTCAGGTGACACAGAAGCCCAGGAATGCTAAGGATTAGCAGCAAACCTCCAAAGCTAGGAGAGAGGCATAAACAGTTTCTTTCCCAGGACTCTCAAAATGAAGCAACCCTATTGACATTTGACCTTGGGCTTCTGGTCTTTACAACTAGGAGACAGAATGTTTCTGTTCTTTAAACCACCGAGGCTGTGGTACTCTCTCAAACACCCATCCCCCTTCCTCCCTTTTCATCTCATCTGCAAATCTGGGTGCATGATCACAGGGAAAACCTTGTGCCCAAAGGAAATCTGCCAATCACATCTTAATCCAGTTAAAATTAAAATTGTCATTTCTTCAAAAAATTTTTGTGAAAGGCAATTTATTGGCTATTTCAGGTACAAGGAAAAGGAGATAATATTTGATAGGAGAACCCCTTTAATATCTTGGAAATAAAACCCCTCTAACATCAAATAAGTTGTTTGAGCCCCTTCTATCCAAAATATGTCTTCACTTATTCCAGAATTTATAAGGATTTTTAACACTTGGTTGTTTTTCTCTAGAAACCTGATTTCATCTAATCTAACTGTATTAGGATTGGCACTTGATTATTCCAATACAATCATTTGCATGATTTTTTAGTGTCCTAATTGTTGGAAGCTGATATTAGAATCTTAAAAGTGGCATATCTTATTCAGAAATGTTTAGTGCTTTATAATAACAATAATATTGGATGCATTATGCAGTAATAATGGAAATTACATTTGCAAAATAATAATGGTAATGGGACATTCTGAAATGCAAGAAGTAGAAAAATCACAGCAGGAGAGAGGAATGTTTTATTCAATGCATTTTGTGTGGCTGTGATCTCAGGTTGGAGGACAGGGGAGAGCTTAGGTGAGCCTCAGGGTTGTACCACCTCTAGGCTGAGTGTTGTAGATCAACCTGGACAATTCTGACTGAAGTGGGAATTTTTGGTCACTGGGATCAAACAGGGTGGGGATATTATCATTATTGAAAGCACAAAAAGTGCCTTTTAAAATAGATTTGCATTTTCGTAAATAAAATTGGATTTTTTTAAAATCAACATTTAAAAATTTTATTTTTGATTAATATTTTAATTGTACATTTTAATGGATTTCAGTACATTATTTCAATATATACATACAGCATGCACTGATCAAGTCCAACCTCCCTTTATCAGCCCTGCCAACACATTTCCTACTTCTTATAATCACTATTCTAAGTCCAGGTTGAGTTTTTTTGTTTATTTTAAACCTGTGCATGTGAGAGGGACTATGCAGTACTTTTTTTCTTATGTCCAGCTTATTTCACTTAATACAGTACCTCTGGCTCCATCCATAATATCACCAATGACAATATTTCATTCTTTATGGCTAAATAATAGACCATAGTAATCATGGATATGCTGTTATCCCCCTTGGTATGCTTATTTCATTTCCTTTGTATGGATATTCAGGAGTAGGACAGCTGTATCATATGGTAGGTCTCCTTTTAGTTTTTAGAGGAAATTCCATGCTGTTCTCCATAAAGATTGTACTCATTTTCATTTCCCCTAACACTGCATTAGAGTGCCTTTTTCCTCACATCCTTGCCAACATTCATTATTTATGTTTTTTTTTTAATAAGAACCATTCTAACTCTGGTGTGGTGATATCTGGTTATAGTTTTTTTTGTTTTCTTTTTTTTATTGGTTGTTCAAAACATTACAAAGCTCATGACATATCATCTTCCATACATTTGATTCAAGTGGGTTATGAACTCCCATTTTTTACCCCAAATACAAGTTGCAGAAAGTTTATATTTGCTATAGTTTAGTCTATTAATTTGATTTTCTTCTAGTTGTTCATAACTTCTAATTGCTGGTTTTATTTTTTAAATGTTTGGGAAAAAATCTAGAAAGTATATTCCCCTATATCTTACTAGAATAGTTTTTAGGTCAATTAAGTTGATTAACTAAGGTAAGGTAATTAACTTTACTCTGTCCTTTAACACTCTGATTTATTGATGACATTCATCAGATGCAAACTCACAGAAAACAATGTCAAAATAAATCTGTAAGGAACCAAAGAAATTCTTGGCTCTATGAATTGATATAACAAATGCTGATTTTGAATTTTGTGGATATATTCTGTACCAATTAGAATACTTTGTGAAACTTTGATTAAATATTTCTTTAGGCAGTTTAATTACTCTTAATCCAGGAATATTCTGGTGAAAACTGCCAAAATTAAACAAAGCCATGGAAGTGCCAGGGCAGCAGAGATGGAAAAAAAAAAGGATGAATTAATTCCTTTGTGTCTAATTTTCAAGAATTAATTAGCCTGGTGTATGTTCCCACGGTACCTGCCCTTGCTCAGTTACTTTCACAAAGAGGTTTTTCTTTTTTCTTTCTTTTTTTTTTTTTTTAACCTTTTCTCTTTGATTTTGAAACCATTTGCCCCCTAACTGTTTTAAGGTCCTAAGAATCCCCAGTAAGCTCTCTGGGGATTCTTGGGATCGTACCATTGTTCTTTCCTTGGTAGACCAGGAGGTACTGTCCAAAGCCAGAAGCTGAAGCCTTTGCCTGCAGGTCCCAGGTCACTAGGCAAAGCCCATTTTCTTGGAGTAATTATATGTTAGTTCTGCGTACCTTCTCCTGTTCCCAACTCTAAAGTCACACAAGGAATGTTTCCATGGCATTGGGAGCCTCGCTTTTCAGCCTCACATGGGAAACTTATCCAATAGACATGTACTGAGAGAGAGGAGAGGCTGGGCAGGATCCGTCTTGGGGTTTAGCCATCCTAAACCAGCAAAGATATTTTCACTTCCATGGGACAGGACAATGACTAGTGATTTCAGTCCGCAGCTTCCTGAAGGGCTATTTATGGTTCTGCTGTCACCTCTTGGGACTATAGCCGTAGTTCCTTTGCATGATTCCCTCCATTTCAACTGTCCCAACTTGTTTCTGAATGCTGCCAGCTTTCCTTTGCGTGGTAAAATGATCCCCTTGAAAAGTGCTTTGCAAATGTCAAGCAGTGATACTGATAACAAAACGCTACTTGCTGACCCATATTCATTCTCCATAAATAGCATCTCACTTTCCAAACCTAAAACCTCTTTGGGATTTTGAGTTACCATTTTTTTCCCCTTGTGGTTTGGGGGCAGAGGGGAGGCAACAGGGTGGTTAAATTTCACCACTGCCTCTCCAGCTGTGTGACTGGGATGGGTTACTCACTGAGTCTGATTTCCCAGGTGTTAATTAGGGATCCTGATAGGATTACCTTTGCAGCACAGTTAAGATGTAATTAAATGGATATCACAAAGGGAAGCAGTTAGATTGGTGTCAGGCACATATAAATAATTTTATTGCTTTTTATTTTATTTTTTTTAATACTTTGGTGCTGGGGAGTGAACCCAGGATTTTGTGTCTGCTAGGCAAGTGCTCTATCACTGAGCCACACCCCCAGTCCTGCTTTTATAAGGTGTTGAGAGGTCCATTATTCTAATGGATTGTTTGCAAAGCCAGCAGAAAGGAGCTAATTTTTATAACTTGATTAATGGCAAAATATTTCTTTCCCATCCTAACTTCTTGCTGTATTCCATTTTACCTGTGATATGAACTAGTATTCAGTAAATAGGCAGAGGATTTTTTTAAAGGATGCTATATTGGCATTTAGAAATAAAGAATTCATGGGATAATAATTTTTCTATATGTCCAATATTCAGAATTTGGAAATCCTTTCCTTGATTTCCAGTCCTGATGAAGTTGGAGGGGGACAATGCTTGAGATGGTCTCTGCAGGCAGTGGCCCTCAGTCAGTCCCTCCCATGGCCATCATTCTGTCAGGACTTGGCTGTGTTTCTTGGACAGGCTGTGGGGAGAAGCTCCATGATACACATGATCCAGTTTCTTCCTGGGTAGCCAATTGCCTTGGACAGAAAGCAAGAGGGTCCATTATGAGTTCCACCTGGCATCTTGGTAGCATCATGTCCCCTTGAAAATGACCTTTAATTCTAAAATTTTAAAAATTCTGCTACCTTGGGAGGGGGTTATGATGTGAGACTCCTGATAGGAAAATGATATATTTCATAGTGATTTCCAAATCTTTTAATCTCATCTCATTGTTTAACTACAGATTGATGTTCTCAAGGCAGATCTGGAAAGTGCAGAATGGAAAGTTTTGGAAAATCTTATTCTGGAAGATGTCCTTGAACAGATTGGACAGCTCATCTTTGAGATTCATCTCCACTGGCCTGGGTTTGAGGTCAGCGGCAGTGACAGCAGCGTCGTTCGATTCTGGTACAGCCTCCTCAAAGAGTTAGAACGGAAGGATTTCAGGCTTTTTTACAGTTATAAGGATTTATCTAAACCTCAGCTATTTCTGAAGAAAGACATTTTCAATGCTAGTAGCTGTTACACTCTGAGTTGGGTGAATACAAGATGGAAATAGGATGCAGGACCTCATCCAGAATCCAAGGAAATATTTGCAAAATGGAGCATGTCTGTGCTTCTAATCTCAGATTTGCCCAACCAGCCTCCCACTGACCCTTTACCTGCTGGAGACAGGGATTGTGGTATTGTGTGCAGTGCATGTACCCTGGTGCTTGGCGAATGATAAGGGCACAGTTGAAGGAATGGACAAGTTTGCTTAAACTCAGGCTCTTTGCCTTTGACAGAGTGTTATTCCCCGACTCATTCCCAAGAATCGTCATGTATCTATAGCCCATGAGTTCACCAACATTAAAATGAAATTATGTAGTTTCCATTTTTAGTAGGTTGATGATGAGAATTCTTAAGTTTATCGTCCCATATTTAAAAGTGACTTTGACTCACTTCTTTCAAGGTTTCCTTTGTTGACCTAATCAATCATATTCTTTGCAACCTGCTAGATTTCAATCATTGTTTCTCAGCCTTTGCTGAGGCTAGTTGTGGCTTTATAAGAACACTGATTCTGGTTTCTTGGAATCAGATGCATTAAATTCTGTCACTGAGTTTAAAAAAAAATAGACCATCAAGGGCTTTGATCGAGATTTTCAATTTCAAATTCCTTTTGCTTCCTACAAAATTTATAATATGTAGAAAACTCTTCCGTCTATGGACATGACTGCCCCTCCCCACAGACTTGCCTATACTGTCAAATCTTTTTTTAAATACACTACCTTGAATGTAAAGTATATTTTTCTTTATTGCCAGTGGCATTATTTATAAGACTGTAGGCCGTAGTCTATTTTTCCTAGAATTGTATTATACTGTTTCAGTGTTTCTAAACTTTTTTACATTTTTAAAAATTAAGTAGAGAATGTAGGCTCTCTATTGTTCATATAATCTCCATCATTCCTATATGCAGGAACAGACTCTCCTATGAATGATTTTTAAAAATTCTCTTTTGAATAAAGTGGTAGTATAAAAATAAACCAAATTATTGCCTTATTATAAATTAGGTGGTTTTTTTGGCTTTTTATTTAACATCCTGAGAGGGTGTGAAAACTCTTATGTATATTATTTGTTCAAAAAATTGGCAGGGGGAAGTAGAACACTGAATATTGCCATGGTTTTTCCTTCTTGCAGGTTTTTACTTGCTTCTGCCTCCAGATTCCCTGGTTGGATTTTTTTTATTGCAACAATTTGAAAATACCATTCCTCAAGTGAGAACCAACATAGAATAGAATGATTTAACTTGAGTTCAAAAGAGAACAGAAGTTCTGAATTAATTGTGACTATTTTTAAAGGTATAAATGAAGTTTTGATTTGAAACTCACAGTACACTAATAAAAGTTGTTGGATTGAGAGGAGCAGCTTAAAGAAGTATAATTTGAAATGGCAGCTCAGTCTCTTTGATGTGCATAAGTATTTCAAATGTGCTGAAGGGTCCATAAACTGTTAGTTTGTATGCTGTCCTCTCCTAAGCAAAGTTCACTTTATTCAGTCCAGTTCCACTTGAATTATGTCAGATTTTTTTCTTCATAAAAATTTTATACACTGAAATACATAGTATATATTCTTATATTGTACAGTGTGGAGTATGCTAGTTTTAAGTATGCAGCCTGATCAACTTTTAGATGCATACACACCCATATCAAGATTTTTAATTCAAAGAATTAATTTAAGGAATTACTGAAAACTGTTTTGTATAAGGCCAGTTAACCATTTGATCAAGATTGATGGTGCAGAACATCTACTTCATCACTCTCTATATCTGAAGTAAGAATGGATGTAATATTGAAAAAAAAATCACAAACACACCAACCTATACCCAATAACTTAGGCAGCCTGTTCAAAAGTGATCCATACTTATTTATGCTTATTTCCCTTCATGGATAGTTGAAAATTACAATGAATATTCTGATGCTTGTCTCTAGAAACCCTGTCTCTAGAGTTGATTATGTTTGTCATGTAGACCAGGTTTTCCTAACCTTTCCACTATACTATTTTGAACTGGGTAATTCTTTGATAGGGATGGGAAGACTGTACCATGCATTGAAGGATTTTTAGCAGCATCCTTGGCCTCTACCCACTAGATGGTAGGAACAAAAACCTCTTCCCCACAAGCTATAACAACCAGTTGTAGTTCCCAGACAGTGCCAAATTCTCCTAGGGGGCAAAACTACCCACTGTGGAGAAGTACTGGTGTAGGTCATGAGAAGGGGATGAAGTTACCACAGCATGACGTTTGCTTTTAAAAAACTGGCAAACACAACATCCTCTTGGAAGGAATAGACAAAACAATAACCATCCCCACCAGAACCACCACAAAAGCAGCACAAACAAAATGTAGCAAGTGAACAAAAATCAAGAGTTATTTGCCAAGATCTTACAGTATGCCAGGTACCTTGTTTAGGTTATTTCAAATTCTGGCCACAACCCAAAAAGTAAGTATGATTTCCCCAAGTATATGGTCAAAGAAACTCTTGAGCCTGGCACAGTGGCACACACCTATAATCTTAGTGGCTGGGAAGGCTGAGGCAGTAGGATCACGGAGTTCAAAGCCAGCCTCAGCAACTTAGTGAGGCCCTAAGCAACTCAGTGAGACCTTGTCTCTAAATAAAATACAAAATAGGGCTGTGGATATAGCTCAGTGGTCGAGTGTCCCTGAGTTCAATCCCTGGTACAAAAATAAATAAATAAACTCTTGAGATGTTACATAGTTTATTCAGATTATTCTACGAGTAGATGGTAGAACAGAAAACTACCCTTTGGTCTATCAGATCCCCACAAAGACCATGCCTGTTTCCACCATGACCTTTGTAGCCATTACCAAATGCAAGATGCCACATTGGAAGGCACTTTTTTGCCTATTACTGAGAAAAAAAAATGGAGGAGGGGAGGAGTATGGATGACATACATACTTAAACCAGACCTGCAAATCTGTTAGAATAATTTTGTAGCATATAGATAGATTTCTTTAACTTGAATCATCTATGTAATCAAAGTAAGCCCATCAAATGGAGGCTTACTGAAGAAATATGGGAACCCAGATTCTCTGTTAATATATTAGACTGCCAGTAAAGCTCTTGCCTGGCCTTGGAGGGTCTCTTGCCTAAGCTTGTTCCAATACTTCATACTTTCCTCTCAGGCTTTAGAAAGGGCACGTGTGAACTTGCTACTTCGTTTAAAACTTGTCTTTGACCTGCAAATGAATGAGCTAAGTTGTGAACATCTGTGACATGCACGTCTTTAATTAACTCTTTCCAGCGTAGTGTATTTCATAAATGATTCTGAAAGTACAAATTTAATGATGTTCTGATCAAATTATTTTTTTAAATTTGCACTTTTTAAGGGGTGAGACATATGAGGATGTAAGAGATTCTGAAGTCACTTTTTAGCACAAACTCTGTGTCATGATTTGAGCTGAAAGTCAAAGAAAAACAATTTCCCCTTCCTCTTTTCTTATTGTGATTGCGTTAGATGCAGTTATAATAGGTTATCATATAAATATTTGTAACTGTTTGACATGTTTACATGAAGAAAGCCATGGAAAAGTGAATGAACTTCTATTAGAATCGACTAATATTTACATAAGGGCAGAACAAAGTAAATGCATGAATTTACAGTGTTTAGTCCAAATCTGTTATTCATGTAAGCATTTCTGCATTAGTTATAAGATCTTTTAATAAATACAGTCCAAGATTTGAATTTCTTAAGTATTAAATGTTTGGATTTTGCAAATCTTGGATTAAACCAGGAAGTCAGGTTCATAATATTTTGCCAGTTGAAAAATCAAGCCCTTATATGAACAGATGATTTTACTTGACAATACAACAATACCTCCAAAGCTCAATTAATGTAATTGTTCTTTTCTGCTGGCAATAAATTTATGTTTGCTTTTCATGCAATAATTCTTTTCATGCTAGCCAATTGCTGGCACTTTGAGAATTCAATAATTGCTTTAGGCTCAAAAATTTTCCTTTTACTTACCTTAAAAGAGGTGTTTTAATTTTATTTATATGAAATCAAAACCCAAAGATTCATCTATATTTTAAAACCTATCTAAATTTATAGATTATTAAATTAAAAAAAATAATTTTGTTAAACTCCTGTCCTTAGAAAAATAAATCCAGCAGACTTAATGTCATTGCACTTGCCTAGCATGTGTGAAGCCCTGGGTTTGATCTTTAGCACCACATAAAAATAATCAAATCAAATAAAGGCCTTCTGTCCATCTACAATTATAAAAAATTTTAAAAATACTATAACTGTCTTAGTGATTGGTTTTGTACAGTAAGCTTGGATAAGGGACTATTTTTGTGGGTGGCAACTTCAAATTCTAATCTAGACTATTTCAATAGAGAAGCCAAGACTGATATCTAATCTATATGTAAGCAGAAAAGATCTATTGAACAACATGGTGATTACAGTAAATAATGATGTATTGTATACTTGAAAATTGCTAAGAGCAGATTTTAAATGTTCTTAGCCCCCCAAAATGATAAGATGTTGTTGGCATGATTGAGTCATTTTTCAATGTTTATGTATACTATACAAAAACAATATCTTGCATACTATAAATGTACATAATTTTTACCTGTTAAACAAGTATGTCCCATGAAATACTTTGCATATATTATTCATGCAAAATGAAACAAAACCACCAGTAGAGCTATAGAGGCTGGTAAAAAGGCTGTGGTCTTGAGTTCTAGAGTGGTCCTTCCACTGTAGGTCTCTCTCAGGATGCCTGACCTCTCCATAGTAGAGCAATTAAAGGTTAATGCACAGTTAATGACACAATTAGAGGTTAATGTACAGGCAGCCTCTAGGACCTGACTCATACTGTGGCTAGGGTCTATTCTAACTGGTTTATCTTCTATCTTACTTGTTATTGGATATAGGGCATATCAATATCTACTCCTGGATAGACATTAGAAAGATGTATAAGAAAAAACGTTCAAATGTGTTCTGCAACATTGATGAGAAACTACAGTTATGTATGAATAAAATATTAATTATCTGTATTATTATTTCTCAAGGATTGATGTCAGATCAAACATCATTTGCTCAGGGACCCCCTCCTTAAGATCTTCAACTATGTGTCCCCAGGGACCTCTATTCTTTCTATTTTTACTCTTGTTGTTCCTTAATGTATCTGCTTGTATTATGTTGTCTTGCCCAGCAGACTGTAAGCTCCATGAAGGTAAGGGCCATGTCTGTAGCCCCAGTGCCTATTATGGAACCTGCTAGTTAAAAGGTGCTCAATAAATATTTGTTGAATATAAATTTTAAAACCTCTTTCATATAGAATTTTCCTATGAAATTATTTCATCATCGTTTTCTATTGTTTTTTTTCCTCTAGCATTAAAAATGTTTGGAAATTAAATGGATCAGTGTCTCTCATTTTGTTAACTTAAATTTGGACACATTTTGTTCTTTTCTTTTTCTTGACATAACTGTACTGCATGTGGTAGTCCTGTTCCTGATTAAAACATGTTAACGGAGATGTTCTTGACCTTGGGGAATTGAAAGCTATATAATGACTGAACTGAATAGATTAAATATAATTGAAGGCTCAGTTATTATTTGAAGATAGATCTATGTCCTATGATATTAAATCTCAATCTTCCTTTTTTATTTCTCATTGTCCTTTCTTTGTACCAATCTCCAGCAAACAACCTTTTTTAAAGAATCAGTATAAAATACAATACAGTATATACAATTCACAGTAGCATAGAGCATATTTTTTGTTTAATGAGACAAGGAATGTGTGATGATGGAAGGCTATTTCTACCAAGGATGGGGACTGGTATTTTTATAAATATGATTATTCAAGTCACATTGTTTTTATAGGACAAAATGGATAATAAAGACAGTATTGAAAGAGTAAAAGTCAAGGTGAGAAAAGGTAGATTCTCAAGACTGAAGTATGAATCAAGAAAATTTCCTTTTGGGTACAGAGAAAATGATGGGGGTCCTACTCTAAAGGAAGGAACCATGAGAATGTCTTCAGGTACAGACTCTGTTTTACTAAAGAATGAAACATTACCTAAGTAGTTGTTTTTTAAAAAACTACCTAACAGAGATAGCAAGCTGGAAGCTGCAAAGATTATGACACAAACTGAGTTGTAAGAATACACAATTAAATGGCATATGTCCAAGTAGGACAGTAAGTTGAAAGAAAAAGGAGATCTTGACAGAGCTGCTAAGCAGCTGCATTTTATTAAGCAAGTCCTAGCCTTTCTAGGATTACTTTCTTATAATATTTAATTTCTAAAGTTCCTTCTGGCTTGAACATCTCATAATTTTGGTTTTGTGATCAGATGAGACTTAGACAATAGGATTATTTCTCAATTTGTGTGCCGCTAGGGTCTGAATGCTTTTCCTTTTAAAATACATACCTTGAAATCTAATCCCCAATGTTAGTATTAAGAGGTGAGTCCTTTGTGAAGAGATTAGGTTATGAGATTGGAGCCTTCATGGTTAGAACCTTAGGAAGAGGTCTGAGGGAGTGTGTTTCCCCCTTTTACCACGTGAGGATGCAGCAAGAAGTTACCATCTTTGAAGCAGAGGGGAAGCCCTCATCAAACACCAGATCTGCTGACACCTTCATCTCGGACATCTAGCCTCCAGAACTGTACGTTTGTTATTTATAAATTACTCAGTCTTCAGAATTTTTAGCAGCCCCAAAGGACCAAGAAGTCTATAAAGAGAAGTCTTCAGATAAATTCAGAGGAATCCAAATGGTGTGCTTATGCATAAGAAAAATCCCAGAGCCCAGATAGAAAGAAAATCCAGGATGGATAGTTCTTCAGTTACTGAGTGAAGTGCCTTTGGTAGAAGTACTTTTTTGGAT